ACGAGGAAAGATTTGCGCAGTGTCCATTGCGCACTTGCAGGGATTGGAAGCGAATCTGCAACATTACCAGATGCTTGGATAAGACACGTGGGATTCGAACATGTTGGTTTTAAGCATCAGAAATGGCGAAAAACTGAGGAATTTTTGTTGAAAAATGGTGATAGATAATATAGGATTCAATGGTGATTGAATGGCGATTTCACATGGGGATACGATGGTCCCTGGCAATCTAAGACTTTGCGGTACAAGGATCACCATTTTGATAGGTAAATCATCGAAGTAAATGGGCAAAATGTCGAAAACTATGTGACATCACTACGGGGCAAGGGCAGTGTGATGGGACTTGCTGTAGTAGTTTTTTTTTTAAAAAAAATATATATATATATACATAAATATATACATATATATATACATATATATATATATACATATATATATATGAGGGAATGTGGAGAAGAGGATATATTCCAAAATGACCGAATGCAATCTGCGGGATAGTAGCCATAGAAACTCTTGAAATAAGAGTTGCTAGGATTACATATATTATATTGCCTATACTATACTTGCGGATTACTACTACAAGTAGAGACTATGACATGGAAAGCTAGGAAATGGGGACTACCCCTCCAAAAGGTGGTGCCCCCAGGTTGGAGGTATTTGGATGTTAAGCAAGTTAGCCAAGCTATGGTGGCCCCAGTGGAATTCCATCATACTCCCATAACTACGTATAGTATGTATATCATATCTATCTATCTACCTATCTAATATACCTATTTGAATACCGAATCCCCATATGTTTGCCCTTGAACCACTCCATTTCGCCCTAGGAACTCCGCGGTGAACTTGGCGCCTCGCATCAAACAACGAGGTCCCTTGATCATTCCACGCGGCACTATCGCAAGCAGCTTGGCATTCTGATGTGAGGTCACCCTGGATAGCTGAGTTGGTGAACATAACTCCAATTTCACTATGGTTTATGGTACTTATAACTATAGTATTCATGGGTGTTATAAACCAACATAGCCATCACTGGGGGGCCCCACATTCTAATGATTTGAGGTCACCGTGGATGAACATTGACCCACTGGGTGATTAAGAATCAGGGCTCTCCAAATAGTGACCAACACGGTCCCCATGATTAATAGAGGGGTGAATGGAATCCGGGTTTGACATGCTTTGACATCATTGGTCAAGATTAAGGCCATGAGCAGCAAGGATAAACAGGTTTTGTTGATTTATTTTGTGAGTAAACTGTCCAGGCATTCTCATCGCAAGTTTGACATAGTTTGACCAGAAATCGCACCAGAAATGGTGGCTACAGGGGCAACAAGCCATGGTTCGGAGGCGAATTGGCTGAGGCGAATCATTGCGCGGATGTTTTTTCCATTGGATTTTTCTTACTGGTGCTAAGCGCAGGGAATTTTCGGGAATGATCCATTTCATCACTAGTAATAATAATCCAATTCACACACCAGCAACCCATCCATTCCCTACGTAAAACGCACCAGTAAGTTTTGAATGTGTGCAATTGAAGAACTTGTGTGGAACTTTTTCGATAAATTCAACATTAGATATTTGAACACGGTCTAAAATCCTCCACAACAAGTTGAGTTTTAAGTGACTCAGTCTGATTCTGTCAGGCACCATTTGCTGATCGATTTACCGTCTTTTGCTGAAACTTGGCGGCAAGTACGAACCACCACTGGTGTTTTTTTCATGGTTCGTCGATTCGTGTTTCCATCGCGACCAATCAGCAGTGTTCAAAACCACTGTTGGCTGATGATTATGATTTCTAGTATAATAATCATCAACCAACAGTATCATGATCCACTAGTCATCAACCCATACTGTTATTGATGTACTACCTATAATATATCATAAATAGGGGACGATCATGATCCACCATGGCTATTTCACGGAATGCCATCATATGTCATCCAGTCTTGAGTAGATTACATATGGTTTTGAAGGCGTTTATGGTAGATATATCATGATGTATCTGCAGTTAATGGGCTTTTGGTTACATGTATATATATATAATTATATATATTCTGGGGGTGGTGCATCACCTTCTAACATGCTGTAAATAAACTTATATAATCATTACGCTGTCATTTGGGGGTAGGTTTCATACACATCCGTCCGGTTGGCAAATAGAATGGAAGTATTCTCATTGAGCCAGATTTAGCAAGACTCACAAATCGGAATCCCCAGTTTACTTTTTTGGGTTTCCTGGGTTCCTTCACTTCCCAGTCCTGCAATTCTTTGGGTGTCAGTTGATGGTGTTGATTCTGTTATTTAACACTGGCGGCCCCGCTTTTGAGGCAGCGTACAGGGTGTCTTAGCCGCCAAGGCTGCGGGAAATGGCAATTCGCAACGTGTAAAGAGAGGCATAGGCGAACACCATGGAAATGATGGCGTGATGACTTTGTCTGGCCCAAGTTGGCCCACAGTTTTTCAAAGGCCCAATCTCCAGTTGTGTCTCAAGCGTGTTGCAACATCAATGAAAAAACTGACAACTGTCTGAAAACACGGTTGGTTATTTTGGTGTCCTCCCTTTTATTGATGTTGTCCCCATCCGGAAAAAACATGTTTTTCCCCACCTGCCAGGTGAGGGTTGTTAGATTTTATGTCAGTTGCCTCCACCTCCTGCCTCGTCCTCCTCTCCTCCTCCTCGTCGTCCTCCTCGTCCTCCTCGTCCTCCTCGTCCTCCTCCTGCTCCACTGCGATCCATGTCAGTGTGCCCTGCCGGACCTCAACCACGACCATCCACGCCCAGTGTTCCCTGCCGGACCTCAACCACGACCATCCACGCCCAGTGTTCCCTGTCGGACCTCAACCACGACCATCCACGCCCAGTGTTCCCTGCCGGACCTCAACCACGACCATCCGTGCCAGTGTTCCCTGCCGGACCTCAACCACGACCATCCCCGCCCAGTGGTCCCTGCCGGACCTCATGTGGGAAGATATGGGACAAAGAATGTGCAGAAGAAAGTTAGAAAGAATGTCAGAAAGAATGTCAGAAGATATGCCAGAAGATATGCCAGATAGAATGCCAAATAGAATGCCAGATAGAATGCCAGAAGAGATGTCAGAATATATGCCAGAAGATATGCCAGATAGAATGCCAGATAATATGCCAGAAGATATGCCAGATAGAATGCCAGATAGAATGCCAGAAGATTTGCCAGAAGATATGCCAGAAGATATGCCAGAAGATATGCCAGATAGATATGCCAGAAAATATGCCAGAAGATATGCCAGAAGATATGTCAGAATATATGCCAGAAGATATGTCAGATAGAATGCCAGAAGATATGTCAGAATATATGCCAGAAGATATGCCAGATAGAATGCCAGATTGAATGCCAGAAGATATGCCAGATAGAATGCCAGATTGAATGCCAGAAGATATGTCAGATAGAGTGCCAGAAGATATGCCAGATAGAATGCCAGAAGATTAGCCAGATAGAATGCCAGAAGATATGCCAGAAGATATGCCAGATCATATGCCAGAAGATATGCCAGATAGAATGCCAAATAGAATGTCAGAAGATATGTCAGATAGAATGCCAGAAGATTTGCCAGTAAGAAAATGTATAAATGTCATGGTGGGGATCACACGAAGTAAAGTAATTTTTCCCCACCTGCCAGGTGAGGGTTGTTAGATTTTATGTCAGTTGCCTCCTCCTCCTCCTGCTCCTCCTCCTCCTGCTCCTCCTCCTCCGCCTCCTCCTGCCTCGTCCTCCTCTCCTCCTCCTCCTCGTCCTCCTTGTCGTCCTCGTCGTCCTCGTCGTCCTCGTCGTCCTCGTCCAACTGCGACCCGCGATCCACAGTGTTCTCTGCCGGACCTCAACCACGAACATCCACGCCCAGTGTTCCCTGCCGGACCTCAACCACGACCAGCCACGCCCAGTGTTCCCTGCCGGACCTCAACCACGACCATCCACGCCCAGTGTTCCCTGCCGGACCTCAACCGCGAGTATCCACGCCCAGTGTTCCCTGCCGGACCTCATGTAGGAAGATAAAATGTCAGATAGAGTGCCAGAAGATTTGCCAGGTAGAATGCCAGAAAATATGCCAGAAAATATGCCAGATAGATATGCCAGAAGATATGTCAGAATATATGCCAGATAGAATGCCAGATAGAATGCAAGATAGAATGCCAGAAGATATGTCAGAATATATGCCAGAAGATATGCCAGATAGAATGCCAGATAGAATGCCAGAAGATATATCAGATAGAATGCCAGAAGATATGCCAGATAGAATGCCAGAAGATTTGCCAGATAGAATGCCAGAAGATATGCCAGAAGATATGCCAGATAGAATGCCAAATAGAATGTCAGAAGATATGTCAGATAGAATTCCAGAAGATATGCCAGAAGATATGCCAGATAGAATGCCAAATAGAATGTCAGAAGATATGTCAGATAGAATGCCAGAAGATATGCCAGATAGAATGCCAGATAGAATGCCAGAAGATTTGCCAGATAGAATGCCAGAAGATATGTCAGAAGATATGTCAGATAGAATGCCAGAAGATATGCCAGAAGATATGCCAGATAGAATGCCAAATAGAATGTCAGAAGATATGTCAGATAGAATGCCAGAAGATATGCCAGAAGATATGCCAGATAGAATGCCAAATGGAATGTCAGAAGATATGTCAGATAGAATGCCAGAAGATGTGCCAGTAAGAACATGTATAAATGTCATGGTGGGGATCACACGAAGTAAAGTAATTTTTGAGTTTGTAGATGTTTCAAGATCACGTAGGTTCCTCCGAGCCAATGGTGTCTCATGATTTCTCCTCAGGGCTCCTCGTCAGACTGTCTCACTGAAGTATTGAATATAGAGTGCCCAAGCTCTAGGTTATGGCGGTTATGGCTTACGTTTTGAAAATGCACCAAAATGACGATGATGTTCGCTCCATGAAAGAGACACAGCTGGAATAGATCACAGTTGAACTCTCGTGACGTCACTAGTTACTCGTAGGTTGGCTTCGCAAAGCAGTGACACTTACATAAGCTACCAGGGATTCTGTTGGCAGTCATGCAGGCAATGTGACGAACAACCTGTTATAGTTTGGTGATGTTTGATGATGTTTGATCAGATTCACAAGCATTTGGGTGTCATCACAACCTGACATGATATATATGTTTTAACTCACCAGAACTTCGCGGCAATGCTTTGTTTCAATGAGATTCCAGGAGTTGTAACATGAGGCTTTATATTTGCTGGGGTTTGATACTCTTGTTGGCCATAAATGGAGGTTTCCTGAAATGGTGGTACCCCCAAATCATCCATTTGAACTTCGGATTTTCCATTATAAACCATCCAGCTTTTTGGGTAAAATGGGACTACGGCGGGGTGGCCAGTTATCTATGCTATTCTATGTCGACTTGGCCTTAAGACATAGCCTCCACGGGCAAAATTTCAGGTTGAGATGTTGGTGGTCACTCGGTCACCCTTTTTTTGGAGGATACCCGGCCTGGTAAACGTTTACAAAAAACTATGGAAAGATCCACCATTTTTAATGGGAAAATCACCGTTTTTAATGGAAAGATCCACCATTTTTAATGGGAAAATCACCATTTTTAATGGAAAGATCCACCATTTTTAATGGGAAAAATCACTATTTCGACTGGGCCATGTTCAATAGCTATGTAACAAATTACCAGAGGGTATGTCCCAGCTGGTCCCCCAGCTGATTTCACCATCGCTGCCAGATGATCCGCAGAATCCCAGCCGCGCCTTCTCCGCGCAACCGATTCTCCGCGCTTCGAGCGAATTCGACCCAATAAGTGCTGGGCCCTGCTGGACCTTTCTGGGGCCCTCCTGAGACCCGTGCCAAAATGGGGAGACTTCCGATTTTGATGATTTTTGATGCGTACCCTCTGGTAATGACTACCAGATTGCTATTGAACATGGCCATTTATAGTGAATTTTCCCATTTAAAATGGTGGATCTTTCCATAGTTATGTAAACGTTTACCAGAGGGTAATTGGGCTACTAGCAGTTGAACTTGTTTTTTTTGGGAATCAACAAACCAACGAGTTATTGGACTCCCAAACTCTGTTTTTGTTGGTCCGAGCTTGCGCAATCCTACGCGATAGGATGTTGTGTGTGTTTGCTTTATGTCCTTTGCCGAGTGGTGACTTAAGCACCAACTAGCTTGACATGTTTCCATTGTGACCGTTTTCGTTTCACTTGTCCTCCACGTTTTGGAACAGGTCCAGACCGACCCCAAAACATGTAACAGGCAGCCAGATCGGAAATTTTTCGCGCCACGGGGTGAGTCACATCATGATCATGAGATCCATGAAGTGATGGATGAAAACCCGGTTTTCCCCGGAGATGTTCAGGGTTCTGTAGCGGGGTGGTGACCCAGACCCAAGAGTCTAGGATATATGAGGAATATGTTTCTGCGCACCATAGGTTTGATGATGATTGATACTGTAGCCATTCAATCTGCGCCCGGCATCCACTTAGACACATCAAGGGCAGCGGTGATGGTTGGTCCAGATCCATGTTGGTGAGAACTGGTTGTAGGACCATTGTTGAGTAATTTGGAGTACTGTGTTTTAACTGGGTCCATGTTTTTAATGTATGTGATCGTATTTGTTCTATTTATTTCTGTTTTCCCAAATGGTCAAAATCCCATCTTTGAGTATAGAGTACCAAGAAGGATTTGTAGAGAGACAAGCTAATTTATAAACCCATCCAAATGTTGATGTATCCACCTTTTCAATAGATTGCGTATACCATTTGGTAATTCAACATAGCTATGGACATGACCATTTTTTAATAGGTAAATCAACTTTACATTATGGGCAACTTTTCCTTAGCAAATTATTTCATTACCAGAGGCTAGGCTTGGTTTATCACTTGTATCATCAGTATCACCTACTAAAGGTGCCTATTTTCATCCGGTGGTATGCCTATTTTCAGACACGGCCGTTCTCCACAGTATTCCAGTTCCAAATTGTTCGATTCCAGTACTAAGTCCCTAACCTATTGATCATGCCGGGGAAGCAAAACAGCCAGCTCTTTGTGGAAGAAATCCAGGTAACTCAACCCCCAGGGCCCCGAGTTCCAATGGATTATGGCACTGTGGGTATCCCTTTGGCTCCACATTCGAATAAGAACACCCAGTCGCGACATAACACGAGTCTGGCATGTCTGTGATGCGAAAAACAGCAGCAGGGCCCAGTCATCCCAGTTTGCAGATCTCGTGGAGACCCAGCTTTTGGAGGCACGCACCGAAGAACCCCCGGTCAGGTCGATGCCCAAAATTCATGAAAATTCCTAGGAAAACTGGACATGAATCCAATCAACATACGAAAAAACCGTTCAGCCGCCCTAGTGATCCTAGTGGATGTTTGACGGTTTAGTGATTGAATTGGATGATATCCAAACATATGTCCGAAATCTGACTATCTCTATCCTTTGTTTTCATGAACCTATCTGTTGGGTATGGATCAAGCGATTGGAGAG